CACACACACACACACACACACACACACACACACACACACACACACACTCTCAGGGGTCATCCAGCCCTAAAGAGAGTATCAGTTCAACTTGCTTCCGGGTTGCGGGTTGAATTCTCCCACGGGCATACAGGCCTCTGAGTGAACTCCAAAGGTTCGCGATGTGTGCCACTTTGTTCATGAAAAAGATAAAATAAACAGAAGCTGCTGTTTGATCCCTCATCTCTCTCCCTGTCGGTCGCTACATCGCTCACTCCCTCTCACCCTGGAGCAAGCAGAGACGGCTCTAACCCTCAATGTGTCTGCACATTCACAAGGAAGGATGACTGACAGCTGCTGACAAGGAACGAAACACACACACACACACACACACACCTGCTATATATATTCTAGCAGTATACATACTGGACAGTATTAGAGGCCTTCCTATTTAATTATTGTCGATACATCCATGGTAACAATGTAAACTGGTCAACGATGCAACTTAAAGGGGAATTCCACCAGTTTTGCACTTGAAGGTGAGTTTGCTCGTATAGGTTTAGTCCATGTGGAAATCAATGTCCAAAGTTTGGAAAACCTAAAATTGCTGTCGTCATCGATTAATCTTCTGATTCATTTGACAGTGAATTCATTATTCGTCTGATCTTTAAAAATGGCAGAAAACAATGAAAACGAAGGCCATCCCAATTGCTGCATTGCTTGTTATGTCTGACTAACATCAAATACTCAATAATATTCAGTTGACTCTGATAAATGACAGAAAGAAGAATCTGAAGGGTTGGCACTTTTTGTTAAACTTAAACCATCGATCAACCATCAAAAAATAAGAGTTCCTCCTCTCTCCTCCCCCCAATGTCCTGTCTGCCTCGTCACTGTCATTTCCACAATAAAGGCAAGAAATGCCCAAAAAAATCTTAAAATGATGGGAAGTGTAGTATCCAGCATTTAAGAGCTTCACCTATACTAGAGTTTAAAAGTGAGGATACCTCCCCAGGTAAAAAAATGTTATTGCATATTCAATTAATGATTTAAATTTGACCGGTATGGTATATTTCCAACACTAAAATGACCACCTCGCCGTTGTTTGCCTCGACCATGTTGCAGTTTACATTCATTGTCCGTTGAAAATGTCATCCCTTCATCATTTCATCCTGTTAAACATTTGTGTGAAATCCTTATTATTAGCATGTGGATTCTGGAGTTGTAGCCAAAAAACGTGTTTTGTGAGGTCACAGTGACTTTTGAACACCAAATTCAAATCAGTCCACCCTCGAGTGCGAGTGGGCGTTAGTTCAATGAGAACGGGACGTCTGTGAGGTCACAGTGACCTTGACCTTTGACCTTCAAATGTGAATCGGTTTCATCTTTGAGTCAAAGTGACCGTTTGCCTCATATTTACAATTCAACATAAATATTTGAAGAATTTTTTGCAATCTCTGAATGTAATTAAATGAGGAAGTCAAGGTGTTGATGGATTCAGGAGAGAGATAGAGAGCAGTAAGAAGAGAGAGTTTCACCTCTCGCTATGATTGCATATCAGCAAACAGACCTTTATATGCAGAAGTCTGAGATTTGTTAGGGTCACAGCAGATTCCGCATGTGCCTGAGGTATTGCTACCAATGTATAGCTCGCACACACACACACACCATGTGTATCTCATCCTGGATTTCCACTTCAACTCAACCCCTGAAATGAATCTTTTGAAATGAAGGATGGATATGTAGCTGGATTGTCGGATAGATCGATTCTTAACTCTCGTCATTCCCCCCCCCTCCTCTCCCCCACTTACTCCCCCTTCTCTTTCCTGTGGCAGAGTTCAGCAGTCAGCCTCATCCCAACGGGATGTATGAAGGTTAGAAGTCTAAATCTAACAGCCGGCTGAAGAGAGGAAAAGGGAGAGCAGGCTAGGGAAAAGAGAGAGAGAGAGAGAGAGAGCGAGAGAGAGAGAGAGAGAGAGAGAGAGAGCACGAGCAGATCAGCAGCAGAGTCTCAGGGGGTAAAGAGGTTAGAGGTGGATTTCTGACAGAGAAAGCCGATATGAAAATGACAAGCTACCATAATCCCGTCTGAAAACATTAGTGGGGAGATAAGAGATGATGAAAAAGGAGAGTAAGCACGAGACAGATGTGAAGATTTGAAAGAAAAAAGAAAGAGAGATCTTGCCATTAGTCAGACCTCAAGACTCTTACTGTAGTGGGCCAGCTTGATATCCACAGCAGAGCCTGGCGCAACCAGAAACTGGGCCCGCCTTGTTTCAACTGCAGGGTGAAAACACGGCTAGTCCAATCACCATGCAAACTCACAGAGAGCCAAATAACACTATTCAGGTTTCTGCTACCAAGCCAAATAGCCAAAACACTAACGTAGTTTCCACCAGATCTCAGTTTTCACTACAAGGCCAAATGAAGGTAGCCTTGCATCCAGGTAGCGAATCCAAAGCCTGCCTTTGACCTAAATCCAGCCCGCATTCTTTGACCCCTGTGACTCTTCTTTTGTCCCAAGAGAAAGCAACTTTTATCACAGGCCTCCACTGCAGAAATATGAAGGAATAAGTTGACGTTCTCTGTTTCTTGCTGAAGGTTCGACGAAAAGTTTGATTCCACTCGTATGTCTGTACATATGAAGATAGAGCCAGCAGGTCATTAGCTTTTTAGCAGCCATCTTGGTTGGGTGGATGCAATAACTTCAAATAAAACAACTTGCTCTTTAATGTTTTCTTTCTTTTTTTTTGTCCAGATCAAACAAAGAAGATGTAATATGTTATTACAGTGAGCTTTACTGCTAGGCTGCTTTAACTTTGAACAGAGCCAAGCTAGCTGTTTATGCTAAGCTAAGCTGGCTGGTTGTGGCATCGCATTTAGCGGAAAGACATGCGAGTGGTAACAGTCGGGGTATCTGTCTAATCTAACTCTTAGCAGGAGAGCAGATCAGTGTATTTCTCAACATGTAAAACTGTTTAAATAAATCAATAAAAAGAAAATCATGCAGAAAAGGCACCTTACCTTTAGAGATGTAAAAGCGGGTAAGATGCTGCTACAGGTTTCACATGTTACCACTGCTATAACATCATGGCTGAGGGTAAAGGTCCAAAATCTTCTTTCTCTGTCACTCACTGTAGAACAGGAAACACAGAGGAAAAGATGGGTATTCAATATTAGACTCAAAAGCTCGAAAGCAACAATTCAACAAAAAAAGAATCACTTTCTGTGTGTCCGCACCACAACAGGCCTCTCATGCTGTTGCTACTGGATGTCAATGACTTAAACAACCCTTCTCATTGATCCAAAGATAACCCTCTTCCTTCCTTCCTCCCTTCCTTTATCCTTCGCCCCTTTTCCCTTTCCCCTGTTTCTATTCATCCGCCCACCCATCTCTTCCTTTTATCCCGTTTTCCCATTTGGATTTTTCTCCTTTCCTAAACCGTCCATGCTTCACGTCTTCCCTCTATCCCTTCCTCCCACCCATTTTTTTTTTCCCAGCTTCTCTCCTTCAAAGGATAGAGGACACAGCTGAAACAAAGGCTGCTTCTATACCAGCTGAGCCAGCAGGATGGAGGCAGGGAGGGAGGGAAGGATCAAAATGAGGCAAGGAGGGAAAGAATGAGGGCAAAGAGTAAGGTGGAGGGGAGGGTGAGCAGGACAGGGATGAAAACTAAGTAAAGAGGGAGCATGAGGATGGCAACGGTGAGAGAAGGAAGAGAGTGATGGTGAGGCTAAAGACAGGGAGGGGTGTTACGGGGGAAAAAAGCAGGAGGAGGAGGGAGGGAGGTAGAAAAAGAGGAAACGGGGATGAATGTGAGAGCAAAAGACGGAAGGAGATGAAGATAGATGCAGAGGAGAGTTAGAGATGGCCCTCACATCAATAGTGTGGTGGTTTTTAGTTTCAGCAGGATCCTACACACACACACACACACACACACACACACACACACACACACACGCACAGAGTTATCACAGTCAGCCAATAATGAAATCTGCCGAGAGCAGCACAAACACATGCACTCCATTTAATCACGTGCCGAATATGTACCTTCCCTAAATCTGCCCTTTGGATCGCAATCACAGGTATGACAGTATGTATCATTGTGATCTCAATTGACATGAATAAACGACATTACTGGTATGAAGAGCTATTTAAAGCCTTCCAATAGTTGGACTTATCAGACAAAATATTTGACTTTAAAATATAGGACAGATTGATGGACACATAGAAACTAAATGATGGATAACGGATGCGATTTATTAATTCCCCTCTCTCGATATGACATTGGTAACGCTGAAAAGCCATAACTGAAATGATGCGGCGGTAAAATAGAGCGCCTTTGTCAGCAAATCTGCCAGGAGCAGCAGAAGTGATTGAGCGGTGTTAATATGTAGGACCACACCCTGAACTGCGTGCAAGGCTGTGGGCGTTACACCCACTGGGCACTGGGGAGAGAGACATGCAGGTACTGGATAGGCACATACTGTGTCCAAAGCATATCTACCTTCCCAGAGTCCTGTGTTAAATATCCTCTTAGGAGACCTTACAAATGGTTTTAGCATTGCTTTCCCTATAGGTCAAATGTTGGATGTGTTTCCGTGGGTCCGTTATGTTTAAATCACTCAGTTTATACTACTTTATATATCAATATCTCCACGGTGGCTAAATGGATTTTAGCCATTCAAACTGCATTTGAAATGCAGTTTGTCTTCAAATGTATGTCTTCATTCATTAATTATTGCCTGTTTCCTTTCCCAAATATCTGTTTATTCATGAACCCCATCAAGATGTTCAATCACGTCCTGCCCTGAAAATGACCCTGAACGAAGCACGACTCCGACAACAAAGTGGAAATTGTTCCACCAATTTGCCTGCACAGCAGAAACTAGTCCAAGGCTATTATGTAACGCCGCACCATACTTTGTTGCGGCAGCTATTTACAGACACAAACAGACGAATAAAAGTCATCTACCTAATCTCATCTAAGATAAGATAAGATAAAGCCTCATTGTCCTGAAGGGGGAAATGTTGCTTGGGCAATAGTGCTGCACACAGCTGCAATCAGTGTAAAAACAATACATAGCCAACCAGACAGTACAGTGGTTCACCAAAGACGCAGTAGAAACAAATTTACAAAATTACACATGCCCAGGGAGATAAAATATATGAATACATATATGTATTATAAAAGCAGCCATAAATTTGTGTCACCTGTTATTAAAAAAAGCATCTGTCGCCATCAAACTTGTGTTTCAGTAATCTGACAATTGCAGCAGCGGCATTCAACTTTGATGAAATCCATAACAGCACAAAGCATTAAAGTTGTATCGCACAACAGCATTACATAAACTACGGGTCATCCGGTTAGCTTCTTGTAGATTCCCGATGGTAAAAAGACAACTGGTGCAGTCTAATGAGCCTGCGTCCCCGGGGGGAGACTACATTTACTCAGTTTTGGTCCGGACTTTGAAAGAGTGCATGTGTCCTTTAATGAGCGCGGGTATGGGGTGACATGCCACAGTAACTCAACATGGGTCCCTGATGATGATGATGATGTTGATGATGATGAAAGCTAAATCCTCACATGAAACCAGAATGCCAATTCGGTCCGGAGAACAATGTCTCCTAAAAATAATTACTTTCAATTATTCAATATCTTATGTAACTGCAAACTAGGGAAAGCCATAACTAAGCTGCGCGGCGGCAGGAAGAATGCGGGAATACAGTTTGTTTGTTATTCATTTCAGAGTTCACAGCATAGGACATCATACGTTCATGCTTTGTGCAGTCAAAGCGAGGATGTATGTATACTGACCAATTATCACAACCATATGTCACCATATTCTGCTGAATTGACAGACCTTTTTTTTCCCCTGCTTGCCTGTAAAGTACTACAGTGATCTGTGAGGAAAGTGACTAAATAGTGTTCCTCAGAAACCTACTTTGTAAGTGTTTTTAAGACACCAATAGGATTTTTCACGGGCCTGGGTCAGCCAGCATTAGCCGCGCTGTGCCAAGCTACGAGGTGCCGCCGTGGTCCTACTGTGATGACAGCAGGGGCCGGGGGGGGGCACGACCAACCTGTAATCGCCTTAGCTGTCTCCTCGGTGGATAAGCTAATGGCTGTCTGTGCTGGAGAGAAGAGAGAACAACTCTGGATTAAAAGTCTCTCTCTGCGCTTATCTCACCTTTCATTTTGTAGCTTCGATCTGAATCTGCGTGGTTTTGAAGTTTGGTTTCACTCCTGTGTTCCTGTTTGTACTTTCAGATACCAGCCATTATAATAGTGTCAAGCCGTATTGGAGCTGTGTTAACATTCCCTGCTGCATCGCATTAAGTGCTTTTTTTCGGGAGCGAATCTGCGAGGCACTTTTTTTGTGAGGAAGATAGAGGGAATGCGATGTGTTTATCACCAAGTTAGCAGAGCATCATTAGCGGCACTTTTTCTCAATAATAACAGATATGGGCATAGCCTGAGCTGTTGGGATTAATAACTCTAATGTAATTACTGCATTTCAACTAGTAATCTCTAATGCCTTGTGGCCCAACACTGCTAATAAAGGATTAGTTCATAGATAGCAAATACACTAAATTGAATAGGAAAAGTAAACAAGATGAGTTGATTTTGTTTTGCATGCTCCACCATTTTTCTCAGGTTTGATTTCAAAGCCTGGAAACTGGAAACTCCTCCAACTAAAAACATATCGTTACAAGAATATGTCACTTGACATTACTTTATTGTCTTGAATTCTTGACAAAAAAGGTGGGTTTAGCACAATTTAATATATAAGTACTTAGATTTCAGTCATTAAGCGGTAAAACCCGTCACACCTGATTACCTGGATCACAGAAACTCAAACACATGCAGTACACACACACTGTAAATCCTGTCAGAGCCATGTAGGAATGCATCGCTCACTCAAGCATGCGCACGGTCCATTAGCTGCCCTTAGCTAACACCATTAGCTCCTGTAACATTGCACTATATGCGATATTGGATTGGAACTGCATATATCAATCCAGGCAACACACTGTGGACACACAAACACACATGCATACATACAGATGCGAAACATGCCGTATCCTTTTGGGATCAAATGTCTGAAGCTTGTTTGTTGTGTATAGCTGTATGGATGTAGAACTGTCAAGCATAGCAAACACCATTCTTATGTGTGTGTGTGTGTGTGTGTGTATGTGTGTGTGTATGTGGGAGTGTTTGTGTGTAACGGCCGACTGAGTCCATGGATAGAGCCCATTGCCAACCAGCAAGTTACTCTTCTGAATTATTGAAACAGGTCAGTAAGCAGGAGGAAAACAGCAACTGTATGTGTGTAGCTGTGTGTGTGTGTGTGTGTGTGTGTGTGTGTTTGCAATTGTCTCTCTGTGTACAGCACTGCACTGCAGATTCACAGCTTAAGCTTTCTGTTCTATCCAGGACCGTATAGAAGGGATTAATGGCTGCGCCTTCTATTCATTTCAAAGCTCATAAATAAAAAATAAAAAACAGGAAGAATGTCAAGTAGATTTTTGTACAAGTGTAAAATATTGCAAATAGTGGATTAGGTGCGTTTGAAATAGCTGGGCTTTCTGAATACAGAAGTCTATCAGAAAACATCCATCAGGGAATAAGGAAACTAGGAGTGGTTTATATTGGGAAATATTAGTTATGGGCATTTAATAGCTCTTCAAAGGCTCCTCTGAGTTTGCATGAAGCTTCAGAGCAGCTGCACTCCATTCGGCTCCTTTTTTTGTCCTGTGCTGGTTCTTCCATCCACCAGACAGGGGCTAGAATAAATAGTGCAGGAGAAGAAAAAACGAGGGTAACCAGTGTTTCCTGATCAGGTCAATATAAAGACGGCAGGCAGAGCTTCTGCTCTGTGATGCCCTGATATTCAACCCACCAGTGGAACATAGGTACAAACAACGTGTACTTTTCGGCGCCTGGCCAAAAACCAAAAGAAAAAAAAGAATGTTATTTTAACACAATCTGTTCTCTTATGATGCGATTTGAGATTAAAATGACAATACACTACAATGTTTTTTGTTTTTCTTCAGGAAAATGACTTAATCCAGTTGACATTAAGACATTTGGTGCATCTCCAATATTAATAGAGATGCTATAAAAAGAAG